GCTCCTGAGGGCTTGCTTTGATTTGAACTGCTGTGCTTGGGGGACAGGCAACACATGTGGAGCAGGAATTTGCAACCATATTTCCCAGGAAGCAGAGACTTTCAGATCATGTGCATCTTTATTTAACTTCTTTTTTCACTTTTTTTAGTAGTAGCTAGACTATGAGGAAGATGAGGTAGCTTTTTAGCACATATACTCTGGTAATAAATATTTTAAGTGTATCAGAGATGTTATCCAAAGCATATTATGAATACGCACATATTCTTAATACACTGACTCCAAGCTTGAAAACTCCACAGGAATATCACGTTACAGAAATAAACTGAGATTAAAACAATTTGCATGGTCAAGGCTAAGGTTGGAATTCAGGGAATGCTTAAACTGAGTCAGAAACAGGATGACACATATTTCTTATTTCAATAGCTCAAAGTTACATTTTATTAAGCACAAATGTACTCTAGTCTCCAAATTCATTGTTAGAAGGGACAGAAAAATTCCTGAAAACACCACACCTATGTTAAAGACTGAAAACTGATTGATGAGACTGATGAGATCTTCATGATTGTACCAAGGTGGGATGGTGATGATACAGAACCAAATTATCTTGGCCCATCTTTATTCCCATTAGTAGCTGCCTACATTCCCCTTTGTATCTGGCATACCTCTGACTCTATCAGGTTAAACCTCTAGAATGTGCTAACTTAACAGATCTGTAGTGTCCATCCGGCCGAAAGCGCAGAAGGTCATTGACAGCCCCTGAGCACCATAGCAGAGGCTTTCCCACTTCGCTTTACTCTTCATACCTGATGTAGAGCTGTGGTGGTTTGAATAAGAAAGTTCATCACAGGCTGAAGTATTTGAGCCCTCGGTCAGTTCGTGGTCCTGTGTGGGGAGGGTCATGGCACCTTTAGCTGCCATGGCTGTGCTGGATGAAGCGTCACCAAGACCTGGCGTTGACACTCACAACTGTCCCACTTCCAGCTTGTCTTTTTGTCTCTTGCACGAGCTTGAAGATGCGCACTCTCAGTGTTCTGCTGCATCTGGCCGCTGGGACACTCATCCCCCTGGAGTCATAAGCCTAAACAAACTCATCATTCTAGTTGCCTTGCTCATGTCCTTTTATCAAAGCAACGGAAAAGTAACTGATGCATTCTGCAATGCATTCATGAAGCAAGAACATAGATTCGTAACTTCGCTATGTGACTGTAAAAAGTTCAGCTAGCTGCTTCCACATGCAGTCTGAATCCATGCTTCTACCATTGTCCCACAGATTTGCTGCAGGACCACCCTTCATCTTGGCCTCCTTCCCTTTTTAGTGAAAGTCCTGTTTTATGTCGACATTGTCATACCATGATGTGAGATTTCCTATCAGGCATGGGTATAAACTAGTCTTATTTCTTGAAATTCTTCTGTGATAGGATGAAGCATAGTAAAAAAAAGTCAATTAATTCCCATTTTAAGCTTTTTCACAATTATTGAGAGAATTCATTTTGATATTTTTAATTTTTGATATGCTGAGAGTTAAAATACAGTAATCAATAATAATATTAGAATGCTAGCAACTTAAAAAGAAAACGTGAATTCTTCTTTGGCTGAAATTGGACACGTATATCTCCCAGGGTTCATATTAAAGAAACTTGTTGAAAAGGGAAACAGAGTCCTTTAGAACTAGGGTCTAGGGGACGTAATGATGTCACTGTAAGTGACATTCTCAAAGAGAATTGATGAATTTCTCCTTGGATCCTAATTAGCGCTTCACAAAGAGCTGTCACAGAAAATCCAGCCTGACTTGTTTGTCACTCATGACCTTGCTCTTGACATGATGCCACTTGTCAGGATATCATGTAAACAAGGATTCCTCACCAGAGGCTGAATCAGTGGGATGCTTTGCCTTCAAACTATGAGCTAATGAAATCTATTTCAATACATTAGAGTACTGGAAAATGAACTGAGAGACAAACCTGTGCATTGTGCTGTTGTTCGTGAATAGGAATTAGAACACTATTCAACATTTGGCTGTTCATTGTACGTTCATTGTGTGTGTGCACATGTATGTACTTATGTGGAGGCCAGAGGTCAACCTTAGGTTTTGTTCCTGAGGAACCATCCACTTTGTTTTGTGAGACAACATCTCTCATTGGCCAGAGTATCAAAGAACAGACTAGGCTGGCTGGCCCGTGAGTCCTGGGGGACTGCATAACTACAACTACCATGTGTTGGGATTACAAGCCTGTGCCACAGTGCTGTTTTTGTTTCTTTAAAAACATAGGTGCTAGGGATCAAATTCAGGCCCCCATTCTTGTAGTAATCACTTGTAGACTGAGCCTTCCCCACACACCCTTAAGTGTGGTTTTTATCTACATTCTAATCTCCTTCCTCAGTATCACTAAGCCTAGAGAGAAGCAGAGGTGAGAGGCGACATAGCCAGTAGGCACCATGACCACACCTTGGGAACCATGACCACACTGTGAACCATGACCACACTTGTGAACCATGACCACACCTTGTGAACCATGACCACACTTGTGAACCATGACCACACTTGTGAACCATGACATTCTAAACCATGACCACACCTTGTGAACCATGACCACACTTGTGAACCATGACCACACTTTGTGGTTATGAATCATGACCACAACTTGTGAAATATAGTTATCACTGAGTGAACAGTGGTAGAATGCTTGTTGTTATGAAACAATAAAATTGCTATCTATCCTCACATACTACAACTAGAAGAGGAAGGATGATAGAATTTCTTTTAAAGCTATTCTTAGATAAAAGAAATATTCATCATATTTATTTTTTTTAATTTTTATTGAGCTTTTGTACATTTAATATAATTCATAATCAAATGTAGAACCCCTCCCCCATGTATGACACCCCCCCATAAGAACATGGTAAGACCTATCCAGTCAAGCATTTGTACCTAAATGTCCTTCAGTGCAAATTCATACACTGGAGACTAGTCAGCCCATCTAGAGATGGTAAGTAAAGTCTACTCTCCCTCACCCAATGGTAAGAAGTCTCCAATGGCTCCCACACTAGGTCAGCTGGCCACTTATTTCCCTGGCTCTGCTGTAGGCTCTTGTTTGATCTAGTTGGCATGAGTTGAAGAGATTCCCTAAATAACATAAGCTACTGCCAGAGCTCTTGGTTATCTCCCAGACCTGGAAGATATGACCCTACTGCTGAGGACATTACATACTTCAGACACAGGACTTGGAGCAGTGAAGCAGGAACTGACCTGGAAGCCTTCTACCTGAAGTTTACCTCTTGTTCTAGGGATACTATGCAGGCTGATAAGGGAGAAATCCAGTTAATGGTCCAACACAGCCCTAAAGCCTAATAACCATAATGGCTGGCACAGTAAACTACCTCTTTTGGTGTAGTAGGGGCGCTGTTGTCTGGGGAGTAATCATTTTTATTTTTGAAAGGACCTAGAACCCTCACAGATTTCTACCCTTGTCTATTGACTGATGACTAGTCAACTGTCTCCCATCATTGTTTCCTTGCATTTGAGTACTTTCTTATTAGTGTCCCTTCCCCTAATGGACTCCTATTGAATCATTAATATGTACTCAAGATGTCTCCCATGTTTCAGCAGCTCCAGATATCTTTGCAGAGATGAGATCAGAAGTCCCATGCCACAGCCCTGGTGTCTTCATGGAAAACAATGGTTTCAGTGGTCACTTACTTAATGAATCATTTTGTACAATCATCCAACCTCTGCATATGTCAAAAATATCAACTAAGGTCAAGAGTGAGAGTCTTATCATAGGGAAGATGGGATGCCCAGGAATAAATGATATAGTTCAGATATATCTGGGCAAACAAAATGTGACAGAGCTGAGCCATCCTTATGAATGTGGCAGAGCTGAGCTGTCCTTATAAATATTTCTGCAGTTAAACACAGCCTTGGGACTATTCTTGGCTACCACCATCATTAATGGCATAACCTGCACAAAACAAATTCTGCCATCAAAACAGCTCACATTTAGGAATTCAACAATTCTGTCAGATGTCCTGGCGCACACCTTTAATACCAGTACTCCGGAGGCAGACGCAGGTGAATCTCAGTGAGGACAAGGAGAGCCTGCTTTATATAGTAAGTTCCAGGCCAGTCAGAGCTACAGGGAGACCCTGTCTCAACAACTCTTATGATAATAAGAGTATACATTGAAGACGAATGTATTATTTAATATTCAAAATAAACTTAGAGGCTAATTATTTTTCATACAAATATTGAAGATAAGGGAACTGAAACTTAACTAACACTGGAATTGAAAGATGGTTTAAATCTCTTAAGGTATTGAGATGGATTTGTGACTTATACAATGTTTATAAATATCTCTGTTAGATGTTTGGAAATTGACAATTGGTTGCAAGTCAAAGTTGATGTTAAGAGTCATATTTGTAAGGCTTGGCATGGTGGGGCACACCTTTCACACCCAGCACAGGGAGGAAGAAGTAGGAAGAGCTCTGTGAGATTGAGGACAGCCTAGTATACATAGTGATTTTCCACCAGCTAGGGCTACAGGGAGACTCTGTCTCAAACAACTAAACAAAATGAAAATTTAAAAACAAGAGTAAGAAGTTTGTAAACCATTTTACCAATCAGATATTATGTGCATCTGTGTATTAAGGTAGACTAATATGAGATTCTGTCAGCAAATCATCAATATCCCCAGAGCCCAGAGATCAACTTAGAGTATGTCTTTGAAAGCTGAGATGTACTGAAGACACCTTACAAACATACTACTAAAAATAATCAACTCTGTATACAAATCACTACAATCATTTTGTCAAAACTAATTTATGCCTCAGAAAACAAATCATTAAACATGCTTTAAATATAATCAGTGAATCAGCTGTATTAAATTAATCTATGAAATTATTTTTCTGTGATGATAGCATATTAGCAACTATTTATGTCAGATCAAAACACTACTTTAGGTAATAGGTTCAATTCAGTTTTTAAAAGTATTGCTGGTCCTTACCTGCTGGTTTACAGGGAAATTTCTGTTGATCTTTTTAATCTGCAACAATAAATCATCAATTTAGTCAGTCAGTGAGAATCACAAAAATAAGGCAACAAAAGCCCCACATTGTTTTATGAGGATATAGTTTCTGAGAGTTACTGTATACTACAAATCTTCCCCAACATACTGAACCTAGTGCATGCCACACATCAGGGATAACAGGGTGCATTTGACATGTTAATACTTGAAAAGAATTATAAGTATTTTTTCATCTATGAGAAATCAATAATGCTTCCACACAGTGTTCAATGAGTATACATCCAGAATGTAAAGACTGAGCTCGTGCTAATTTTGTACTATGAAATTCTATGACATCCAATTTGTTTTAGTAATTAAGGGATTGGGGAGACAGGATGGCCAATAATTAAAGGATAAAATCCATATTTAGAAATATTATCTTTCAGAATCCAAAGTGTATAACATGTACTTTAAGATAATTTAATGAATTATAGTGCATAAGTATTTTAAGTAAGTCCTTAGAGGAAGCATTTCCCATTCATGAAATAACGGAAGCAAATTAGAAAACCCAAATGAAATCAGTACACACTTGGGCATGTAACCTTACATGGCAAAAGTGCAGTGAGTGCTTGCTAATTAAGCCACTCATGATTTTGCAAACAGAATTCTGAAGAAACTTCCACAACATAAACGATATGAAACAAGCTTAGATCTGACTAAATATACACTATTTTCATGATAATTATTTTTTTGATGAGTTTTTAGCTTTATGTTTTCCTTTTGTTCTCCCGATAAATGAATAGACAACTAGATGGATATAGACACAGTATTAGAAAAATCCATCAGACTGTCCTCCAGTAGTGGAGATGGACTTTCTAGATATTTGCCAATTCAAATGTGAAAATAAAATAAAAAATTAAATAAATATAGTTTGAGCAAGGTTACATAGAGAAACCCTATCTTTAATTGGCTGTTATAATATTTTCCACCTGGTCCCCCATGCCCATTCTTACACACACCCCATTGAGGAATTCACCAAGATCCAAAAAGTTCCTACATCCTTTATCCACAGTTAAGACAATTTTGAAATGTGGCCAGAGGAATTGATTAAACAATTATTCATGAAGGAATCAAAAATCATATTGAATAGCTGTACAAGTGTAATTTTTGCTAGTCCTTCATTATAGCTAATTAAGGTAATTGACTAACATTTTATGTGGACCATTGGAAATGAATTATCAAGATTTATAACTTTACAGGTTAAATCTGAAAAATAGTCTGAGTTAAGTGTTTTTTATTTTTATTTTTTGGTCTTTTTGAGGCAGGGTCTCCCTGTAGCCCCAGCTGTCCTGGAACTCACTATGTAGACCTGGTTGGCCTTGAACTCACAGAGATCCACCTGCCTTTGCCTCCCAAGTGCTGGGATTAAAAGCATGCACCACCATGCCCAGCTGAGTAACTTTTTTTGAAACTCGAGTGTTGACAAAGTAGACAGGCATCCCAGACAGAAATCAGGGTTTGTTCAGCTCCTGTTGATCACAGGAAGCTTGTTCTGTGTTGGTGCCTCAGGTAAATTAAAGAGGAAGGCACTTTCAGAAGTATTACACATTCATATAAACATAGCCACAAACAGCCCCCTTCCACATTTCTCTCACATGCAACATACTATGTTTTTATATTGCCAGCTATGTTGAGAAATAAAAAGACATCTACTGAGATTTGACTTCTCTATTCATGATAAAACCATTCAGCACAGTAGGAATACAGGGGATTTTATTAAGTCTAATGAAAGTAATATATGGAAAAGCCACAAGCAACTTTCTAATCAATGGTGAAAGGAAGAAACTTTTACCTACAATCTACAGAGGATGTCAAAACATGATTCCACTGATAGATCAAAGCAAATAAGATAGTCACCTAGCAAGAATAATGAAAAAATTGTAATATAGAAATTATCAAATATTGTTGAAAGAATTTAAGCAGATATAAACAAATGGGAAATCATTCTACAATCACTGATTTTTAGGGCTTCCTATTTCAGGGTTTCAGTATCTCCCAAATAAATACACAAATTCAATGAAACCTCTACAACTATCCCAATTAGGATATACTATTTTATTTTTGATGAAATAGCAAAACCCTAACTTGAGCTGGGATTTTTTTCTTGAAAGTATAGCATTTCCTTGGGAAAAGCCCTGAATTTGGTTCTAGGTAGCAGGACAAAAGATAAATTCCTAGAATTTGTAGGACATCTGAAGGGACTCCAATGAGACGAGAAAAATCAAAGGAGAATCAGAAAGTCAGAGGAGTCACAGATTTTGATTTCAAATTTACTACAAAGCAGTAACAAAACAATCAATACCATTTGATATGGGCCTATTGAGAAAGGCATAGCAATGTAGGATACAGTACAATATAGCTCAGAAACATTTGGTAAAAATATTCTTAGCAAATGTACTGTCTGTCTAGTTATCTGGAATATATGTATTTATTATATAAAACAGAAAATAAACAGCTGACAGATCATTTTCCTAAAACACAAATATCCTATCTTACACAGTCCTTAGGCTTCTTACTATATAAGAAAATATGACTGTAACAAGGGACTAGGTCCTTCAGTGTGCTCTGTGCCTGATTTCTCTACATGTGCCTAAACTCTGGCTACACTAAGCTTGCTGTGACCAAACAGGCTCTATACTTTCTTATATGTGTGTGTGTTTATATATATATATATGTATGGAATTGGGACAATTTCCTTTATATGCAAAATTAGATCAAAGAGAATTCAAGTCCTAAGTATAAATCCTTAAAATATTAAATTCCTCTAGAATGCTTAAAAATGAAGTCCTAAAAGAAAATGAGAAAAAAATAGAATAACATCTTGGGAGGCAGAGGCGGGCAGATCTCTGTGAGTTCAAGGCCAGTTTGATCTACATAGCGAGTTCCAGGATAGCTGGGGTTACAAGGAGACCCTGTCTCAAAAAGATGAAAAAAAAAAAAAAAAAGAATAACATGAAATTACTGATAAATTCAAAAATTGTTAAAGCTATTAATCCATCCAAGTAAGAACATTTGCACACTGCAATTCCAGCACAGTAAAACAGCTACAAACCATGAGGAGATGATTTCATGATTAGAGTGCTAACAGTCCTCTATTTCAAAGAAAGAAGATAAGACTAAAAGAGAATGCCTGGAAGAAAATAATGCCCTGATAACAGTGTCAGGTGTGGACTCCATCTGGTGAAGTGGGCCTTAAACCCAATTAGAAGGTGGTTATAAAGTCTATGCCACTATTATACCAGTTGGCATATTTTCAAATTTACTATTTTATTTCAAAGAGTTCACAGTTTAGTAAGGTTGATGATTGCCTTACTCTGTCAGTAATATGGATAGAATCTTTTAGTACTATAGACCTTAGCAGTAGAGATGAAACTTTGGGGTCAAACCAGTTTGATTTTTCACTGTTCTGTGATTCATGTATGAGGTGTCTTCAGCAATAGGGTCTTCAATGGCAATAGTCAGTATTAGTTGAGTATCTGATCTATTGGCTCATTCTGGTCAACAGTCCCAAATCAAGAATTCCTGATCTTGGGCCTTGGGCTTTCCATTTGCTAGCCTGTAGTGAGTATCATGGCCACTGAACCCCTGTTTTAGGATAACCACATTTACCTGTGATTAGACAGGTCACCAGTCATAGGGGTGATCTGAAAGCATATTAAGCTGACTCATAATTAATTAATGTTAAACACATAGGGTAGTGTGTCTCCTATCTCTTACCAGAGAGGGTTCTTACAGCAGATGGTGATTAATACAGAGACCTACAACTGGTCAAAGTAAAGAGAACAAGAGGCTGCAGAGGGCTCAGCCCTAAATGAGAGATATCACACCCTCTCCTCCCAACTGTGGGAGATCATTGTGGGAATGGGAACAGAAAGATTTTAGGAGTCAGAGATGGTAGATGAAGGTGAGGAAACTGTGTGTCTGGACACCACAGGGTAGTTTCTTGTGTATGTAAACTCACAGTTTTTATGACAGCATACATGAAACCAGTGTAACCCAAACCAGACAGGGGCCCAGAATGGATGGGGGATGTACTCAGGAAGCCCCAGGCATATCTGAGGAATGATTGGCAATTGCTAGATGCTGGGAGAGGGAGAGAAGGTTTTCCTTATTGGTTTGCAGCCTAGTACCTTGATCAGACTACCAGCGATAGACCCGCACCCAAGAGTACTTGGAAATCACAGACTAGATTTGATAAGCCTTAAAAAAGCTAATAATAATACAGGATATGAATTCTGGGGGTAGTTGGGTGGAGATGGAGAGTCTGAATATGATATAAATATATGATATTCTTAATAAAAATAGTAAAAAATTAAGACGTGTGTGCATATGATGTTCATTTTAGAATAGGTTCTAGAAATAATTTCCAGCTTTGCTAATTCTTACCCTCAATTCACTTTCTTCATTGTCAGATGTATTTTAGAAATAGCAGAATTGGGTCCTGCTATAGGCTAACCAAAAGCAAGAGATATTTCAATACAAAAAGTAATTTATACCTATTTAAAATAAATATGAAACAGTGGCCTACAAAAAGCCTTGATAAAGTTTCAGTTAGAGATACACTATAAATAGATTAGAATCCTTTCCACAGAGTAAGTTCTTAAAAGCAGTTCCTCCCATGTGGATGTATAGCTGTAGGATTGCACAACCTTATCCATGGAACTGTACAGCCGAACTTAGCACCCCAGCAAGAGGCACCACATAAACAAAACACAACAGGACAGTCATTCAAAGGAACAGCCATAAACAATGTGTGTAAAATAGCTTTACCATATATGGCCAGAGATGACAGGTTAAAACCATAGTTTGATCTCAGAGAAATATGTGCCTAAGCCTGAGAAATATTCTAATACTCAAATACTGAACTAAGCATATTATAAACTCAACATCCTTCACTTTGCGAGAAGTCTATAGTTTTAAAGAATATAGAGTTATTGGTGTCTTCCTGTTTATTAGGTACTAAAAATATCTAAGTAACT